GGTGTTTTTAATGATTTTGATATTTTATCTGCCAGGAAAACATCAGAACCAGTGCCATTACCAAAACTGGAAATTTGCCACCCACAACGGTGACATTTTTTTTATTTTATATATATATGCGAACCAAATTTAATGTCAAACTCAAAAATGTATCAATAGTACATTACTTTTCTATTAACCCATATTATTTTTCTTGCTCATTTATAAAATATAGAGTCCAGTGAAAACATTTAAGTCAACTATCTAGATTTGTTTCATGTTCTGCAATTCAAAACCTTGCAAAAAGTTAATTGAAATGTGGAGCGATATTTTCTTTTCATCAATTTTGGCAAGTAGTAGAACAATTATGTAATTCATAAATTGTGGGCTCAGTTATTAATTTGGTTTGCATGTATCAACCAGAAGTCTCTGTCGAGACTGTAGCTCTACTGGTTTATACTTAAAACAAAGGAAGAGAAAAGTAGCAGTTGCGACTTGAAACTTTAAAACAGCAATAAATAGAAAAATAATCCTTGCTACTCATCAAAGCAAAAACCGATGCAGAGATTTATGTATCTTAGTGTAGTCTACTTGTGTGCCAAGTTATATTGAAATCAGACCAAAACTGTAGGAGGAGTAGCATTTTGAAAGAATTTCAAAGAAATTTTAATTTTTGGCAACCATGGCAACACCGTTCATCGAAATCAAAAACCGATGCACAGAATTATGTATCTTAGTGTAGTCTACTTGTGTTCCAAGTTATATTGAAATCAGACCAAAACTGTAGGAGGAGTAGCATTTTGAAAGAATTTCAAAGAAATTTCTATTTTTAGTAACCATGGCAACACCGTTCATCGAAATCAAAAACCGATGCACAGAATTATGTATCTTAGTGTAGTCTACTTGTGTTCCAAGTTATATTGAAATCAGACCAAAACTGTAGGAGGAGTAGCATTTTGAAAGAATTTCAAAGAAATTTCTATTTTTAGTAACCATGGCAACACCGTTCATCGAAATCAAAAACCGATGCACAGAATTATGTATCTTAGTGTAGTCTACTTGCAGTCTATGTGAAAGTCACTGGACCGTCGGTTTTTACCGGTAAAATTTTGTTCGGGCCGGTAAAAATTTTCAGTATACAGGACCAAATGTCCGATAAAAAATAAGGCCAAATAAATCTAAATTAAGAGGAACACATGGTCCAATTCCCCACAAATATCCTTTATTTGATCAATTTAGCAGTAATACCTGATTAATTTTTATGTATTACAACCCTGTCATGATCGTTTTATTCTAACTTGAATTTCCTCTGTCCAGGGTTAGAGATCTTTAGATAGCTCATACGTAGATATGGTTGGGAAATTATTTAGATAGCTCATACGTATATATGGTTGGGAAATTACTTTTAAAATGATCATTGAACTTGAGTAACCATAATGAGTTGTTTCAGGAAAAATAAATATGCATTGAAAGTAATATTAGGCTTAAAAAAAAAATAAGTTAGTTTCCTGTAACATTCCCAAAAAATCAAGGGTCGGTAGGTCGGAATTTTTTTTTTTTTTTTTTTTTTTTTTTTTTTGCTTATGAATGGTCAAACATCCCCGGACCGAAAATACCAGGTGTTATATTTACAGTGGACACCCAATATGGCATCCAAAATGGCTGCCAAGCGGCAGAAAACGAACTTCAGAAAGTTGTAGGGGGAAACAATTGTTACAATAATGATTACTCTTTATATTTAAGGTAAATGCACACTAAGTTGACATAGTTTATGTCTCAAATTAAGCTACAAGCTATTTTTTTAAATTTAATAAATGGAATCAGCTGATTGATCAAACGAAGTTTTGCCAATTGTCAGAAAAAAAAAATCCACCCGGGGATAATTTGAATGGGTCGGTCGGGTTACAGGAAACAAACTTATTTTTTTTTTAGGCCTTAAATGTAAGAAAATCTTTGATACAGTGTATGTTGTATAAGTCAAATATGAAGAAAAAAAATGCAGGCAATTTTATAAATAGGTACCTTTTACAAAGGAAAATTATAGATAGTTAAGTTAACTTGTCCATTTCTCTCTGAATTTATTTAAGGTTAAATTTAACAGTGAGAATTAACCCCATCCCACCCACTCTATCAATCTCAGTATCATAATGATGTATGGATTTTAAGGAAAAAAGTCGGTCTGGTAAGAAATTGCCTGGTCTGGTAAAATTTTAATTTTTACCAGACATTTTGTCCTGTAAAAAATTTAAACTTTCGCGTAGACTGTACTTGTGTGCCAAGTTATATTGAAATCGAAGCAAATCTGTAGGAGGAGTAGCATTTTGAAAAATTGTTTACAGACAGACAGACGGACGGACGGATGCCGGACGCATTACTATCGCATAGCCTCTTCTGGTCTCTGACCAGTAGAGCTAAAAATTGACTCGGTTTGAAGACTGCGAAACTTCAAGTTTTTCATAATGGTGCCTGTTTTGATATTTTCAAGCCACATAAAATATCAAATAGAAAAAAAAGCCTGGAAAACATTAGATATTTCAGACTAGAAGTACACTGTGCCATGCTAATAATTTTAAAAAAGACTTCTTTCTCAGAAATGGAGCTTTATAAAAGGCTGAAATGTCACATTTTCTATGGTGCATTTGTTTACTGACATTAACTTAACTCTTCCCCTTAGATCTTTCCCTCCTTTACCCCCTAATGACGACTTTTGACGCCTAGCTCCCAACCCTAAATGACGACTTTTGACGCATGTGTATTTCATTGTTGATCTGACTTGAAATTACCGCTTGTTTACAAATAATCAGAGCACAGGTGGCCACCTGCAGGTCAACAATAGATGATTGCATCATACTAGTTAGAAATCACGTGATTTACCTGTGTAAACAAACAATAGAATCTTGGAGTCCCACCAAAATTCAAAATGGCGGACTGTTACATATGATGAGCATATAACTCGGTCAATACGCAATATTTTCTCTTCCAGTAAAGCATTACATGAAATTCAAGCTATAAACTACCTATTTCTTGAAAAATTTGAAAATTATATTGATCTATATGTGTAATATACTCAAACATAAGATACGAAAATTTTGTGACCGCACAGTGCTGATTTTATTACCTGTTTCTCACAATTTCAGAAGATACCTTCAATTTCAAACATATAGATCTATGAATGTCTAGGTGTAGAAATAATTATTTTAATAGAATTGCCTCATTAAAGTATCCTAAAATGTTCAGAAATCAAGTCTTAGCATGCAAGTTTGAAAATTTGTCGGCGATATTGACACTGAAGTAGCACTACAATTTATTGATTTCTGAGAAATTAAACTCATAAAATTGATAATAAATAATAATCTATCCATCAATTTATATCATCTTATATATTTTTTTATTATTTAAACAGACAATTTTGACTTCGTAAAGCCGTTTAACATGTTGAAAATATCTATTTTTCTATTTACACCTGCTTTTACCTGAATTATTTTTTTACAGAAAATTCCGATCAAAATTATGTAAACAGATTTGAAAAATTTAATCTATTACGAATACATTGATTTATAATACATAGCATAAATGAAATATTTTGACCCTTATTAGTTCAGTTTTAAACTGCATGCTCTCAAATTCATCTAAAACAATCAAAGGGGCAGCCAGGCAAACACTCTAAGGATATGGCCAGTGTGTCAAATCGTGGCATTAAGGGGTAGAGAGATAATTATAACAATACAAACCTTTCCACAGAACTGGCATGTGTATCGAGAATGTTGAGAGATTTCCATTCTCTTTATGGTTTTACGAAGGGAAGCACCATACCGGGTTCCATACTTTCCACAAATTCCAACCTTCTTTGTTCTTTTTGCCTGATAAGTAAAATCACTAAAAACAATCACATCAACACTAGATTGCATCTGTTGTAGGCTGCAGGCATAAAATTAGTTCATACAGGTCAAGTCCAAAGACTATTTCTTCCTACGTAACTATTCATAGCTACGTTTTAATAGCTACGTAAGTATTTAAACCTACCCAAAGTAGCTATTTTTACCTATTTTCTGCTTTACTTGCATTTTGTGGTCAAATGCAGGAACAGCGCAACATGGTGAGCTCTAAATTTTTTAATACAGTCACACTGATGATGGATATGACAAATATTTGGCCAAAAAATGATTACTTCGTATATTATCAATTTTGCACAGAAACTAATGTAAAATTGCTGATTCAGGAAGTAATCATTTTTTGGTCAAAATTTTGTTGTATTCATCATCAGTGTGACTGTATCAAAAAATAGAGTATTCTCCATGCTGTGCCGTTTGGTCTTTTGGCCACAAAATGCAGATAATACAAAAAGTAGGTAAAAATAGCTACTTTGGGTAGGTTTAAATACCTACGTAGCTATTTATAGCTACGTAGGTAGAAATAGTCTTTGAACTGGACCTGTCATATAGGGATCCTAGCGCAAGATTGTTTGTAAGATCGAGATAATATTCTATCATCCTTAGAGATTTTCAATGTAAAAATCTTGTTTTTATTCTTATCTTGAAGTGAAAAAAAAAATTAAAGGAAAGAGGTCATGATGTAAATTGTCCATGTCATGAAAAGCTGTTTCTACACACTAAAAATTACATCTTCACTTTACATTAAGCCTACATCAATATTGAACTTCGATTGATAAAATCTGACTTGATATCTCAAATATATGTTGTTTACTTTGTTAAGCTCTACTTGTAGTTCAATAGATGATTGATATTTGATGCGATTTCACTGGATTTCTCACAACCTTTATCACCTACCATGATTCTTCCCCTCTCCCAGTAGAAAAAGGAAGTAAACATGGAAAAGTGAAGAAAGGAATGCATAAATAGTCACCTTTATTCCGGATTGGCGAAAACTTATTCCTGTAGCAAAAAATCTTTTTATGACCTAAATCATTAAAAGTAAATATTAAGAATTTACTTAAAAGTCTTTATCAATAATACTTATTTCAATATTAATCATATCCGGAAAGGTCCTGGATATATACTTTATTTCATTAGTTGATTTGCTCTTATCCGGTTGCATTTGGGTCATTGTCAGTTGTGAAATATTGCAAGAGTAAAAATCCTCTAGAATACATACAGGTAAGAGATCAGACGTTAAAAATGATGACAAATCAAAATATATAGCAGAGCTAGCTCTGCAGATTGATCAGTAACGTATAGAAATAGAAACAGAAGAAAACACGTCCTACACCAACATGCGCATTTAGAGATTGGTAAACGCGAAACGGCACAACGACACCATAGCCTCTGACACTCAGATAGGTTGGCCCAAGATCACCAATGTAGCTTTAGACTCCCTTCTGGTGTAATCTGAAATTCCTCTGGTGGACATGCAGTGGTGAAATTACTATTGAAGTACGTTAATCTGATTATAAACCAAGGCCCCAAAAGTGATCAGGCCACATTTGAGAGACTACATGTAGCTAAACACTGCTTAAGATTTATATGCCACAGTTTATTTTAAGGTAGGTTACTAGTACTGGACCTACTTGTGATTTTTCAAAAAAATGTTCTCAGATAATTAGATTGTTCATACTAAGGTATGATGAATATGAAAAAAGAAGGGGTTGTCAATATTGTTACTGAGAGGGAGTTTCTCAAAAACAGGTACCTTCTTTTGTCAGTTGGCAATATGAGATTCGATTCCAATAAAGGTTTCACATAATATGTACAAACAAACACTTTTTTTTATGATAATGAATTTGTTTTCCTATTAAAATCAAAGAAATATATCCTATTAGTATTAGGCCACATTTGAGATACTGTATAATCCCTATTTACAGCCCCGGGCGCTTAGAAAATTGCGAAAAAGGGGGCGGTTATTTTGGTATCCTTTTCCAAATATTTAATGTCATATTTTAACTTCAACAAATCTTTTGAAAAAAATAATAAATTCAAAGAAGCACTAAAAGAATATCTAACTTTATTTACTGTGAAGATAATCCACCCAAAGTATGCTAAATAATTCGTTTTCCACCGAGAAATTGGATAATAGACAAATTTCATTTTCACTTTCTTCAAGTTTTGGCAGACTTTGATATGATTCTAGATGATTTTTATCACTGTACAGGGGGCCCTTATTTCCTGACAATTAACAGGGATTTATCAGTGCCTTCTCAGGGGCCGAAATTCGGCCCCATTCCCAATTGAAAATGAGTTCAATTTTTCCCAATTTGGCAGCATTTTTTCCCAATTGCAGAACAATGCTCTTTTATTAAATTATCTTGGACTAAAAATAAAGTAAATATGTCAGATTATCTGTAATTTTCCTCCATTTAACTCATTTATCAAAGCTACAGTCGTGACATATGTTTAAAAACATCACCAACTTTTAATCCGAATTTCCTCAGTTTTTTTCTGAAGCAGTGATATTGTGTAATTCTGTAGGCTTATTAACTTATTTTCACTTGCTCAATGGATCTACGAATGAATAGTAAGAACTTCATGCATTATTTCAAATAGAAAAATATATTTTCAATGCACATTTTAGAAAATGTGCATTTTAATAGTGTAGTATTTCGCAGGAGGTTTTTATCTCTCATGGCCTAAATCGGAATCTCATACACAAATATACCATGTACATGCATACTACCCTAAGTTGTTAAAAAATTAATATATTCATTGAATTCATATTTACTTTAAAAAGTCTATTATTCATAATTTGATCTCTCTTGTTTGATCATGTTTATTAATTGTCTGTTTGGTAGCCCAAATTTCAGCTGAATTTTTTTTTTTAAAAAGTGTATACATGGTTTAAGCAACATTCATTTTTCCCAATTTCCTCAAAAAGCCGATAACTTTTTCCCAATTTCCAAAAAATGGCGTTTCCCAAAATAGGCTGATAAATCCCTGATTAAAAAAGACCTAGAGGGGTGCTTATAGGGGCAAGGGCAGTAAATAGGGATTATACGGTAATAAGTTTTATATGCAACAGTTTATTTTGATTCAGGCCTATAAATTCTAAAAGAATTTTTATGTTATTAATTATGTATATATATAAGAATACATATGGTTTCAATGTATTATCATTAATAGTAATCGCGTAAAATAAATGTGTCTTTCAAAGAAAAAAATCTTTGGATGGATGGATACTTAAGATACATGTACTACAGTAATTCTGTTCATAATTTTTTAGATGCATCAATTTTAGATTGGACTCAATCTTCTCGGAAACCTTGAGTCCCGGGACTCAGCAATGAGAACGCTGGTTGTTTATATAACGTTACTTTCAATTTTTGACAAAATTTGACTTGAACAATGTATCAAACTCAGGTGACTATTAAGGCCAATGAGCCTCCTGCTAATTGTAATATTCTAATCAGTTTTGTTTAACTTAAGTTTGTGTAGGTTATAATGTCATCAGGCTTGTATACCTGTATCACGTGTCGTGTGGGGTTCCGGGATGGTGACCTACAAAGGGCTCATTATAAAACAGACTGGCATCGCTACAACCTCAAACGTAAGGTGGCAGATCTACCTCCAGTGACAACAGAGGTGTTCAAGGAAAAAGTTCTCTCTCAAAGGGCCAAGGTTGGTGTAATACAATGTACATGGTATGATAGAAGAAACTCATGTCATGAAAAAAGGGCAAAATATTAATACTGAACCCTAGCTTATGAATGAATTATTGTGCATGTGCTAAAGTTTTGCTAGTTTTATAAGAGACCTCTGGTTATTTTGTTGTGATGTTTTGTAACAGGTAGAGGAGGAACAGAAGGTGCAGTCCCTGGTGTGTCAGCTGTGTAGTAAACACTTCAGTTCTGACAATGCCTACCAGAACCATATCAGATCAAAGAAACACAAGGAGCTCTCAACTAAAGCTCAACAACAGGTATTGCTGCTTTATAATTTTTGTTTCATCTATGGATATCACAGATGATGGTATAGTGAACAAGGTTATAACCAAGGGATAAATAAGTTTGATTCATTATAAGCATAAATGTGTCCCACCTGTTTAACAATGTTCTGGACAATGATAAATTTTAAGCCTGATGTTCTGTATTATTTTTTTCTACAGAGTAATAAAACTAGTGACCAGGAAAACACTGAGGTACCCGCACAGAGACAGAAGGACTACATAAACAAAAAGATAAAAACCGACATGGAAAAGGCACAGAGGCTGAGTGAGGAAGCCACAGGCCACATGGAAGAAGGTATCCAGAGATAAAATATGCTATGTTAAAAATGTTTGTTCTTTGTTCACACCCATTTTAAAATATGATATGGATGCAGAGTTACAGTCCCAGTTAGGGGTGAGTTGGTGGTTACCTGATATATGTATAGACTCGGTTGACTGTCAATGACTATTAGACATATTTTGTTCTGATTTACAGACTCTGGTGAGGAGGAGTGGGAGGGGGATGCCTTAGGACTGGAGGAGTGTTTGTTCTGTCCCTCTATCAGCTCCTCACTAGAGAACAACATTAACCACATGTCTGTGAAGCATGGCTTCTTCCTTCCTGACGCTGACTACCTGGTGGACTTGGAGGGAATGATTACATATCTAGGTAAGGAACAATTATATACCAGGTAAGGAGGAAGGAATGATTACTTACCTCACCTCTGCTGATTTTTCTGTGAAATTCTGGCTTACGATTGGTTGAAGTATGTCACGTGAAGGAGGTGGATTACTTATACCGGACAGTTGTAAATCTATACTCGGACATTTGTAAATCTATACCCGGTCAATGTATTACGTAGAACGTGACGTCATAATAGGCACAGTATATGCGTGATGAAGCATGTAGCAGAGAAAAACGGTAATAAACCACAGATCATACGTAAATGTTTCATTGGTGGGGTAAATTCGTTACATAGTCTTTTAGTGACAGGTACGGGATGATACCTGGTTAGTGAATTTCATACCTGACTCGGCTCCGCCTCGCCAGGTATGAAATTTACTAACCAGGTATCATCCCGTACCCTGTCACTAAAAGGCTATGTAACTAATGATATCTAGATAAGGAGGTAAGGAATGATTACATACCTCGGTAAGTAGCTGGCCCACATGGATGGTGGCTAATAATGAAATCATGTGTATATATAAAATTAATATTTTATGAAAGTTTGCTATTTACATTTGCAAATATTTTTTGTAAATGAACCTATTGAAAAGTTCTGTATAAAATGACTGTACCAGGTCTGTATTCACAGGTTCATAGAATGAAAACATTTTTCTTTGAAATCTGCCTGCTTTCAGGTGAGAAGGTTGGTGAGGGTCACATGTGTCTGTGGTGTGGGGAGAGAGGGAGGACCTTCCACAGTCCCCAGGCCGTCCAGAAACACATGGTGGACAAGGGACACTGTAAAATCTTCTTTGAAAAAGAGGCTGCATTGGAATTTGCAGACTTCTATGACTACAGGTAATAAATTTGCCATGTGTGAGACCTTTAATTAATATTATCAGTAGGCTTTGTCTGATTGATAAATACATATTTTCCCTCAGAGTTATTCCTCTTGTTTACCATCTTGGAGGTGAATCTGAGGTGTGTTCTTCAGAACAAGCGCTTGTGAACCTTTCTGTTGGAGGTATAAGGAATTTTAGTGAGCCCTCGTGAACGGTCGTTCCGTTGAAATGCCTCAGACTTAGATGTTTCTTCCCTATTGTCTACGTAGATGACATCAAAGTTTCACATAAATATTTTTAAGGAATTATTATGCACAATATATTGCCAAAAAAAAAGATACATAAAAATGAAGATAAATTATTGAAGAACTTTGAATAAATATATTGGACAGAGAATGGAAAATGAAATATATTGCTTTTCTGTTTATTATTTATTTAAGTCCCACTAGAGTTAAAGAGAACATCATAATTAATTACAACTTGCTGAAGCCCAAACATTTGAAATGATTTTAGCACATTTAGACTTGTCAAAGCATTAAGATGCAGCTGTTCTTGCAGGAGTAGTTATCCAGACAGTAAAGATGTTGCCATGGAAACAGAAGAGGAGGAGGAGATATCAGAAAATGTGTTAGATACTGAAGGATTTGAAATGGTCCTACCTTCAGGTGAGAAATAGTGTGTTAGATACTGAAGGATTTGAAATGGACCTATCTTCAGGTTAGAAATAGTGTGTAAGATACTGAAGGATTTGAAATGGTCCTATCTTTAGGTGAGAAATAGTGTATAAGATACTGAAGGATTTGAAATGGTCCTACCTTCAGGTGAGAAATAGTGTGTTAGATACTGAAGGATTTGAAATGGTCCTATCTTCAGGTGAGAAATAGTGTGTAAGATACTGAAGGATTTGAAATGGTCCTATCTTTAGGTGAGAAATAGTGTATAAGATACTGAAGGATTTGAAATGGTCCTACCTTCAGGTGAGAAATAGTGTGTTAGATACTGAAGGATTTGAAATGGTCCTACCTTCAGGTGAGAAATAGTATGTAAGATACTGAAGGATTTGAAATGGTCCTACCTTCAGGTGAGAAGAATAGAGTACTAAAGATTTTTAGCTCACCTCGACAAAGTCGAGATGAGCTTATGCTATACCATCGGCGTCGGTGTCAGCGTCCCAGTTAAAGTTTTTGGAGCAGATCCATTCCCAAGTAACCATAAGCCCTACTCGGACCAAACTTGCATGGATGATGCCTCTAGGGATGGACACTACCAGATTTGCTTTGGATGCTGGATGTGACGTATATTTTCCAGATGAGTGACAAGGTTAAAGTTTTTGGAGCAGGTCCATTCCCAAGTAACTATAAGCCCTACCTGGACCAAACTTGTATGGATGATGCTTCTAGGGATGGACACTACTAGACTTGCTTCGGATGCTGGATCTGACCTACATTTACCAGGTTAGTAACCAGGTTAAATTTATTGGAGCAGGTCCATTCTGAAGTAACTATAAGCCCTACCCTGACCAAACTTGCATGGATGATGCATCTATGGATGGATAATCAAAACTTGCTTCGGATGCTGGATCTGACCAACAATTTCCAAATGACTGAGGTTAAAGCTTTTGGAACAGGTCAATCCCCAATGAATTTTAAGACCTATTTAAACAGAACTTACTTGAATATTGTTGTCAAAATAAATACTTACGGTTAAAAAAATATGATGTGAGATTTGCATTACCTAAACTGATAACATTCGACTAGGTGAGCTTCGTAATCTTTGATTACCTATGTTTTTCCTTTAGTAAGTGTTTGTTTTATCATGCTTTTTAAGATTATGAAAAACTAAGCTAGGATTGTTTATTCTATCACAGAGAGGTGACTTCTTTTGTTAATTTAGTAAGTGCATTGTCTATAGAATAGTTTCAGAAATAAAAAGCTGACAATTTTCATGTTTGCACCATTGGCAGGCTTGAAGAAAGGCTCTGGTAGAAATGATTCAGCTCATCAGAGGGGTCTAAAAGTAGTGGTCTCTGTTCAAAATGTTTTGTTTTCTTGATCTGCAACAACTTAATAGGAATATATTTGATTATATGGATTATGTCGAAGAAAAACATTTTTGGGAAAGTTTTAGGAAAGTTTTCAGTCTTGCATTCATTGTTAAAGGTCATGACGATTAATCAATTTTATTGTACCATACTCTGGAAAACCATTTGTTTTAGAAGTCTTTTAATTAGTTTTCTTTTATGAATAGGTGCTACAATTGGACACCGGTCGTTATGGCGATATTACAAACAGAACCTTCCTCAAAGGACATCAGAGGAGTCGTCTAGAGTACTGCCCAAAATGCTGGCCCAATACAGAGCTCTAGGCTGGACCGGAGCCTCGGGTAAGTCAATATCAAGATACTCCTCAAAATGGCAAAGTACTCCTCAAAATGCAGGCTCATTACTGAGCTCTAGGTTGGACCTGAGCCTCAAGTAAGTCTGATTTCAAGGTACTCCTCAAAATGCTGGCTTAATACAGGGCTCTAGGTTGGACCTGAGGATCAAGTAAGTCTGATTTCAAGGTACTCCTCAAAATGCTGGCTTAATACAGGGCTCTAGGTTGGACCTGAGCCTCAAGTAAGTCTGATTTCAAGGTACTCCTCAAAATGCTGGCTTAATACAGGGCTCTAGGTTGGACCTGAGGATCAAGTAAGTCTGATTTCAAGGTACTCCTCAAAATGCTGGCTTAAGGGTACTTACCACAAACAAAAAATGGATGCGCGGGTTGATATATATTTTTTGAATGATTTTGATTTGTAATGACATAAATAATAATTCCCTGAAATATAAAGAAATCGTAGGTTTTCCTTGGTGCTTAGATTTGAGTTTTAATTTTGCCTTCTAAATAATTCAATACAAAATTTTGCACAATTTTTTAACTTGATGACAAAATCTTATAAAATTCTCCCACTCTACTTGGTAAACATTATTCAGGTTGTCAATTTAAATGTAAATCTATGAAAAATAATGCTGATATCTGAAAAATGTTTGTTTGTGTTATTTATCCTTAATACAGTGCTCTAGGTTGGACCTGAGCCTCAAGTAAGTCTGATTTCAAGGTACTCCTCAAAACGCTGGCTTAATACAGGGCTCTAGGTTGGACCTGAGGATCAAGTAAGTCTGATTTCAAGGTACTCCTCAAAATGCTGGCTCAATACAGGGCTCTAGGTTGGACCTGAGGATCAAGTAAGTCTGATTTCAAGGTACTCCTCAAAATGCTGGCTCAATACAGGGCTCTAGGTTGGACCTGAGCCTTAGGTAAGTATCAAAGTACTCCTCAAAATGGTAAAGCACGCCCCAAAATACTGGCTGAATACAGAGCTCTAGGCTAGACTTCAGCCTAAGATAAGCCAGTTTCAAAGTACTGCTCAAAGTGCTGGCCCAGTATAGAGCTCTTGGCCATAGTACGGAAAAGTGAGTCTCCGGTAAATCAGGTACAAACTGGTGCCCAGTTATTTAAGATTTGAGAAAGTATTGCAGGGGCAGGACTTATACAGAAATAATATTTTCCAAAGAAATAGGACTATCAGTATTTGCCTTTCCTCTACTGGTATTTTGAAAAAATAAAATGACAATTATGAGACATTTACATTTGATTACCATACTCTCTGTAGGTGACGTTGCACAGACAAGGGTGAAAGACCTGGCATACATGCAGAGAATGAAAAATCGACAACACATCAAACTGGGAATGAAGGCAAACAAGTTCCAGCCTCACTTCAGATGTCAGGTTATGTTCTGAAGATTTCACATTCAAGATCAAGAGGAGAAGGAAAATATTCCTTTGCAAAAGACATTTGCTTGTACCTGAAATGTATGATTTAAAAAAATAAAATACAATTCAATGTACTCCTCAAAATACAACATAGTTATGATGAGCAAGGATGCCTCTTCCAAAATTGTGAATATCATGGCCCCAGGATAAGGGGGTTCTGGTGTTAGGGTGGGATTATATAAATTACATCTAGTCAAATTGCATAAATTCTTTGAATGTCTTCTTCCCTACTCCTGGGAATTTAACAAACTTACTACATACATAGTATTGATGAGCAAAGGTGCCTCTTCTAAAACTGTGAATTTTATGGCCCCAGGGTCAGGGGGTTATGGTGTTAGAGTGGGCCTGTATTGATAATATAGTGAAAATGCATTAATTCTTTAATATTCTCTGTTCCTGGGCATTAAGCAGATGAACTACCTCCATAGTCTTGAGGAGCAAGGGTCCTTTTCTCTGAATTGTGAATTTCAAGGCCCTTGGGTCAGGGGTATCATAGAGAGGGGATGAGGCTCTAATGAATTAATGCTTTGAAATTTGTCCCTCGGTATTGCACATTTATGATGAGCAAGGGCGCCTTTTCCAAAATTGTGAAAAGTTTGGCCCCAGGGTCAGGGGTTCCTGTGGGGTGGGGGCTCTACTGATTATTGCTAGTTTTTGCTGATTAGTTGAAATGAATTTATGTTCCCTTACTCTGCCTAAGCCCTTACTCTGCCTGTGGGTATTAAAAACTAGCTAAGCATGCAAGTTATGATGAGCAGTTGTGCCTCTTTCAAAATTGTGAATGTCATGGCCTCTGGTATGTTACATAATGATCAGGTGACCGATAAGGCCATTGACCTCTTGTTTTTTTTTTTTTAATTCGGGATATGAATAATCGAATTATAAATGCACAAACTTTTATCAACCCATCCTCGATTAAGTCTCCCTCCACTGAAATACTTCATCCGGGTTCCTTCATTTATTTCAAGTCATCTGTCTAGAAATATTGACTTATTAATTATTATCAAGATTAATTTCAACCTACGTTTCTGAAAGGTCACAATTAACACGCTGCAGTAGTCATAGCCACCATAAAAAATTTTCAGGAATATCCCAGAAGATGGAAGCCATTAGTTACCAGGTGTTCCTTTTTACGATCCCCGTGATTCTGTCGTTGATTTTATGCGGGTTGTGTGGGATGTTTTACTTTAGGTGTAAGGATTCGGGGTCTGTCGAAGCCATCGCTGAAATGACAAAGCAGCAGCTCACTAAAACAAGTAAGTCTGTTGATATTGTTAATTGGTTGAATAACAGGCCTACTTTGTTAGCTATAACAGTAAACATGAACAAAAAGGTCAACATTAGCCAGAAAAGAATCTCAACGCTTCCTCTACCACTTCATAAAATTTACGAAGACTCACAGAATCTTATAGCTGCTAAACTGTACCCACCGAAGAAAATATATTGACAGACAGGAGAGCTACAGTGCCACCCATTGTAAAAACAGTATATTTATTGTGCTCAAAAAGTTGCGCGTGGTTCTGGATTAATTCTTTAAAATTTAACCTCAATGGCGAAAAAAAGATAGATTTTAAAAAATTCCTTACTCCTCAATGAAGTTCTCTCATAGTAGACATCTGCACAAAGTGCATTGGACCGAATTATCTTGCAAACAAAAATGGCAGTATAAATAGATGAAATTTTTGATGATCTCAATTTCAGGGCCAGGAGGGCTATTAACATGGAATGTTATGTTGTGGAAACAGTGAAAGAATATGTTAAGAACACACGGTTAGTAATATTTTGAGATGACAGTTTAAAAACACGGAAAAATAAATCGAGAAAAAGCGCACTTTTTTGTGCGCAATAAATACTGGTATATTATACAATTTTTTTTCAATGGGTGGCACTGTAGCTCTCCGGTCTGTCAATATATTTTTTCGGAGAGCTACAGTTCTGCAGCTATAATTATACATGTACTTATACGAGAGCGGTTTGTCAACTAGGTGTTCAAAGTGCAACCAGTTTTATGTTGCGATGATTAATTTTTTGCTCCTGCTTTTTGCTTTGTCAAATTTTTCTTATTTTTTGACTTGGACATAAAAAGTAGTCCTTGCCTGATGCCTCTATCTTTTTTCCATTTGAATCATTTGCTTTTCTTGTTGATGAAAATCAATGAATGGAATCTTAAATTTTTTAAATGAAATTTAGAACAGAGGATTATTATCAATACTTTTTAGATGCCTTTCCTATTTTGACGGTCACTCAGAAATATAGGGTTGAAAAGTGATCTATGAAACAGAAAAGAGAAACTCGTTTTTAAATGTTAGCATTAATTGCTCAGTTTATGACTGCATTAATATGGAGGCTAATCGTGTTCAAAAATCCAGACTTGTGAGTTTGTAAACGCAATCTTGTAAGATTGTAAATCCAAACATGTACATGTAGTCATATCAGATTCACAGTATACATGTATATGTAAGTTAGTAATTCCGACATCCAAGCATGTAGTTCCGAAAATACAACTGTGTTGACTTTAAGTTCAAATTATGAATGTATGTATCTTTGATGTTGTAAATTTTGTTTTCCGGAATGTATATTTCCGCGCTCTAAATAAAACACTAAGACAATTCACAATTCTACAAATGTAAAATCTACATGTTTGTCGAATTTTGATTACGAGAAACTAATATTACATATTACATTAATAATTTAATTTACGTTTACAGTAATAATACCTAAATAAGTCTTTATTTACGTAGAGCACATTTGTGTCTTAATCTAGTATGAATTACATTCCAGTAACGATCATCAAAATAAAAAAAAAGATCATGAAGATGGAGTAGGTGTTCTCTGAGAGTTTATACAATTTTTGAACGAACCTATAGAAGTGGATTGTCTTGTTTCAAGAGATAAAGAGTTCCATTCCCTTATTGCCATTGGAACAAATAATGATTCATATATATTCAATCTACACTTAGGGATACAATAATGTTGTGACTGTCTTGTTACGCAATTTGATTCGTGTGATCGAATGTTTGGAAATATTTCTTTAAGAATACCTGGGTACCATGTTATGAAATATTTTATATACTAGACAAAATTGCTTACGCACCACCTAAGAGAATTAATATTTTACTTCTAAAAATTTATTTATGATGTATTTGATATAATTATAAATATGTTACTTTAATAAAAAATAAGGCAAATTGATGTCAAACCTTGTGTATATAACTACAATGTCAACTGAAGTGACTGTGTGACCAATTCATAGAAAAAAATTAAGATTGCGTCTTTTCCATTTTCAGTGAAAAAAAGTTCAATTTTTTCTTTGTATCTGTGTTCTTTCCATTTGTACTAATCAAAAACTTAGGGAAAAATATGGAACGCCATCACTGCCTTATAGCATACAACTATGCATTTATTATGTCAGATTATAATTACGTGATGTGAACATATCTTTACGTTATGTCCATTTTTTATGAGACGATGTAAATATATCTTAACATGATGTCAATGCTGCATTACATGAAGTAAATACATCCTTTCATTATGTCAGCACTTCATAACTTGAAGTAAAAAAAATTCATTATGTGAAGTGATAATGTGTTTACATTGTGTTAAAACTTTATTACGTGAAATGAATGTTTCTTTACATCATTTCATTTCTTCAATATGTGAGGTCAAAATTGCATTACGTCAAGTAAATTGTGTTTTATAATTAAACTTATCATTACATGAAGTCAAAAGCCCATTCCTTTTTGAGAGTGTATATTTCTATTATATCAAAGCATTATTACGTGATATGGATTTATCTTATTTTACGGCGAGGGCATCATGATGTGAGGTGAACACATCTTACCTTTATGTCAGTGCTTTATTACGTGGTGTAAAAAGTGTATAACATAATGTGAACATATCTTTATATTATATCAATACTTTATTACATTATGTCAAAACTCCATTCCATGATGTGGATGTATAATTACGTTATGTCAACTCTTTCTTATGTGATTTAAAACTATCTTTATATTGTGGTAACTCTTTATCATGTTGATTCCAAAAGTTCATTACCTGATGTTAAAATACATTTACATTATCTCAAAGCTGTATACCTAGTATATAATGAATGCTGACGACCGTGTGTTAATGACTGGTAAGAAGGGGGGGGGGGGTCCTGATTGATTAGGACAAATTACATGCACATAATATCAACCCCCCTCTTTTCCCAGACAAACTTTACTATAGAAAATGTAATGTTCATTGAAACATCCCCACTTCTTGTTGAAGTATAGTCCACTAAGGGTAATGTAATATATCTGGGAAAAAATGGGACTGATCGAAGTTGGACCCCTCTCCCCGAAATAGGATTTTCGGGCTTGGATTTTTTTTTCTTGGCTTGTCAAGTTTTTTGGGTAAATGATTTTTTTCCCTGGCTGACCTCCTCTTTCAAAAAAAGATGCTACGTCACTGGAGTTAGTAATTTTTTTTAATCATTCCAGGGCCAGAATTCTATTACAAAAATCTACCAGTCGCTCATCTAAATCAATTGAATATGCCTTAGTAAGCATGCATGGGCACATATCAGTGGCAGATATGGGAATCTTGAACAAGGAAGGGGAGCGGTATATGGTTGGAGACCAGGACGGAAAGCGGAGAAGCTCTCAGGCTTTATAGTTTTATAGAAACACGTTTTCAACTTAATTCAGCTAAACTTAATGTGAAACTAATGCAATGTCCTACAAAGTTTAAGACTTTTATAAAAAAAAAAAACAGTTCAAAATAAAAAGAAAAAAAAATGATTGCTGCACGACTCATAATATTTGATTTATTTAATTATCAGATACAAGTAAACACCATTGAATTTCGACGTGACTTTAATTCACAGTCGCAGTGTAAAGGCTTTGCATGTTTCAAGATTGTCAATCATTTGTCGCTTAAAGTTTTCATTTAAAGATGTCATCCGAAATCGCTGAGAATCTCTTCTACGACAGTTTTCTCTCCCGCCATTTTTAGTGCTTGCGGAACGCGGAAAATACGTTATGCT